AGTTCAGTTCTAGTTCAGTTCTAATTCATTTCTAGTCAAAACATGCAAAAAAATTTTTTTGATGAAATTTTCAGAGGTTGTCTCGGATTATTGCCCATATCTCCGTTATTTATGGACGGATTTTGCTGATTATAAATAAAATAAGAATGGATGTCTGATAAAATTATTGAAGATTTGGATCCCGAAGATATCTGGGGTCTTCGGAAAATTGATTTCCCCAGACACGGACCGACAGATAGACAGATATGACGGACATGGCTGAATCGACTCCTCTATCTATAAGAAATTACTTTGATACTTAAAACATATCATAACCCTATCCAAAACCACCCTCGTAGGCTCTAAAACATTTTGTGGATATATTGTGTCTTCAAACAAAAGCATACAAAACAGAAATAGACCAAATAATCTAAACTAAAATTGACACACTATAACCATGTTCAAATTAAATACAGGGAGTGTTTGTGTATCCAACATCTGTGAGTAAATAGATTTTAATTTATTTATAAGGATTATAGATTACAGATTAAACCCACATTCGTTCGTTCAATTCTATTTTATTTTATTTTATAAAATTAAACAATTTAGATGGATGTCTTCGCAAGTGTTATTTAAGAAATTAAAATTGAATTATTTAAAACTATTCGTAAATGAATTTTTAATTGTTGTCTTATTGTGTCCATATTCAAACTTAATTCTTAAGTAATTGTTTGTTAAATTTTAATTTGTTTTGTATTTGTGTAAAAATAGTTAGCATCCTTTTTCTTGCTCCAAAAAAAAAGACTACAGTTCCTTTAGCTTGCACTTGACAACTACATATAAATGTATGTACGTATGTGTGTGTTTTGTATGAATTGTTGTGGTGTCAGTTAGTTTTCCGCCTTTTTGAAGTTTTTGCAAAAATATAAAATAATACTTATGTAAGAAAAACTTCAATCTTATATTTTTGTTTTCAAACTTAAATTGCTTGATAAAGGACAACAATAAAAACCAAGGATTATGTATAGAGTAAATGTTATTGTTAAGATAAAGGTTATTAAAACAATATTCTTAGTTTGGGGTTAAACTAATCATTTTTTAGGTTAGAGCAGAAGACATAGTTTTAATTTCATTTTGTAGCTAACTATAATAGTGTAAAAATGGAAAATTTTTGTAATTTTTTGGAAAACTTTTTATGAAATATGTGTCTATAATGTCCATCTAATTAGTTTTTATTTGCATTTTAAAAATCTATCTGTTATTTTTAATAAAGCTTTTGTTGCTAAAAAGTTTTTTGATGCTGGCAATATTTTAGACTTAACATTTTTTCTTATTCTAGCCATCAACCTTATTTTACAAATTTTACTTTATTAAAGTCCCACACCATTTATTTACATACTTATGTGCATTAATTTTATACAGTACAAAAGCTTTCTTATTGGATTTTTGAGAAAATGCCGCATATTGTCGCTCTTCCATATAAATCACATTTTATTTCAATTCAAGCAGCAATTGGAATTGAATAAACTAATTGCGTGCATATGGAAATATAACAAAACCAGTCCATATATATTACTTCTTTATATTAAACCAATAAAGATTTTCCAAGACAATTTGAAATTGGAAAAAGTGAGAAAAAGTTTGAAAGATTGTAAAATTATGGGACCAAGATATAGTTGGACATATCCGTTTTCCTAATTTCTATATATTAAAGCAATTTTGATTTGCTTAAAGGGAAGTTAGGGCCAAATATGGACCCATCCTCATGAAATTGAATGTCATAATACTTAAGAAATTAGAATTATAAGATCAAATAATTTTCTAAAGAGGCTTCGCTAGACGGGATCGAATAAAGCCCGATCATTTTAAAAATCAGAAATATCATTAATGTTAGATGCATACATTTGAGTGGTCAGTTTTTAGAGGACCTATGTGTAATAATGGACTGAACCAATATTTCGACCTTGGTGAAATCTTCTATACATATGGGCAATTTCGTATCAAGTGACCCAACTTTTAAAATCGAGAAGCTCATCGCTCTAGAAGCTCTTAAAGTATAAGCTTTCTATTAAGCAAAAAAAAAGGCCCATTTTGAAAAAAAAATTAAAATTTAATATTTGAAGAAATAGCTATCTGAAATCCTTGGACAAAGGGCCAATAGGTGAAAAGTTACACTCATTTGAATAAAACCCTGTATAACCAAAATATTCAACTTTGACCTCCTCTAAGTACGGTAGTTGTTAACCGATAGAGCTGAAAATTTGTGTCTGATCTACTACCCAATAGTACTAATGCAAATTTCATTAAAATCGAAAGACATCGATTTTTAAAGTTATGTCACTTGACACGAAATGACCCATATATAACACAACCAGCCAAATATTACTTCTTAATGTTAATCCAATAAAGATCTCCCAAGACTGTTTGATATTGGAAAAAGTTCGAAAGATCGTAAAATAATGGGATCAAGATATAGTTAGACATAGCATAAAGGAAGGTTAGGGACAAATATGGACCTATCCTCATGAAATTTAATGTCGCAATATTAAAGCTTTTACGGAAATCGGGATCGAATCATTATATAATAAATAATAATGTTAGATGCATACATTTTGGTGATCAGTTTTTATAGGACCTATGTATGTGAAATAATGGAAATAATTATTTCGATCCTGATAAAATCTTATATATATGTATATAAACATGAATTTGTGTGTTTTAAGTCTGTAGACGACTTAACGGCTCGACCGATTTTATTAACATTTTCACAGAATCTTCTTGTATGTCTGGAAGGAATTATGGGATACTTTTAATTTCGAAATTTTGAGTAAGCGAGATGTCACGCCTACATGCAATATAAATATTAGAATTTGCATATCTCAGAAACTGCATCAGCTAGAGTCCTTAAATGTTATATGGTCAATTTTGACATTTGTGGTCAAAATGGGCGGACAGCATAGAAGGGACGTGGCACCTCCCATATAAAAAAAATATTAAAGGAGTATATCTGAGTAAATATAACAGTTAGAATCCTAACGGAGTCACTTTGTTATCATTATGAATATTTAAAATATAATGGGCGGAACATTTGGGAATAAAATGAGCCTACTACCTATAATGGTCGGGCACTTCCCATATAAAGAAAATATTAACTTAGTATATCTAAGAATATAAAACTGTTAGAGTACTCAAATTTTCGGAACCGCATTAGAATCAATTGGAATATTTACTCCCCAAATGCACTGACTAGTAAAAAGAGGCGTGGCACGAATGAATTAAATACAAAAATTCGTATATCTGTGAATCTACCAGAGCTAGAATCCTCCAAAATTACATGAATAACACTTTAACATTTATGTGAACATTTGGGTAATATATTTGCGGATAAAAAGTAAGGGGCGTCCCACCTCTCATATGAATTAAATACAACAATTCATATATCTGGGAAACCGTCGGAGTTGAAATCCTTAAACGTTAAACTACACTTGAATATTTGGAAAAATGGGTGGTGAACTTACAATAGTTGTACCTCCCATAAGAATAAAATACCAAATTGAATATAAAATTGAAAAGGCTTTCTTAATTACATTATTTACAGAGTAGCGAAGTACACTGGGTATTGCTATTAGACTATAAATTTGACTTAAGTACAATGTTTAGATGGAAAGACAGACAAACGAACGGATATAGCTAAATAGTCTTAGAAAACTATTCTGATTGATTGCTAGATTATAAATTTGAATTAAGTATTACAATTTGTAAATAAAAAGACAGACAGACAAACGGATATAGCTAAATAGTGTTAGAAAATTATTCTGAACCGATTGCTATACTTTATCTATACTTTATCTATAGCCATCGAAAAACGTTAAGTAAAAGGTTAAAATGCTGAAGCTTTCATGATCAAGCAGTGGTTAAAATGCTGAAAAATGACTTACACAATAGCTTTAAGTCATTACTATAACACGGTGATGTTATTAGAGGCAAGTACATCAGAATCGCTTATAAATTATTAGAATAATTGGTAAATGTGAATATGACCACAAAGCTTTTAAAGGAAATGGTCAAAGCTTTCTTTTGAGTAAAAAAGTGGAAAAAATTAATTAAACAAATATATTGAAAAATCTTATTTTTGAGTTAAAAATTATTTTTTTGCTCGGTATCCCACTCGCGTCCCACTAAACGCCTATAAAGTCCTTAAACGAAATTGTATAAACTTTCTTTTGAACAAAAAAGGCTCATTTTGGAAAAAAATAAAAAAAATATTAAAAAAATTAAACACACATTTTTGGAAACATTGAAGAAATAGCTATCTATAGTCCGTAAACAATTTTTTCTAGAACCAATTGGTGAAAAGTTACACACATTTGAAAAAAAAACACTGTATGAACAAAATGTCCAACTTTGACCTCTAACTCCGGCAGTTCTTGATCGATAAAGATGAAAATTTGTGTCTGGTCTACTTACATTAGAGCAAATTTCATCCAAATTAATTTTTAAGTTTGGTCACTTGCCCTTATATGTATGTCTCTCTGTCTCCGGTTTATGATTGATAATATCTAAATTTAAAATAAAATTTTTATGCACTGATAAATTTTATACATATATAAAATAGCCTGCAAAAACTGGGTAATGGCTTTCAATTGTAATTACTTACCTAACAACATACTTTTCAATGACTACTACATATGGTCTGGATTACATAGAAGTAGTCTAATAAGGTCTTACTAATAATGTGTTATATAAATAATTTCTAATTCATTAGTCATCTTGCCAGTGAAGATACAGATGCTGTATACGTTTATTCATGTGATTTACAATGACTACTTTTTCTAATTACTTGTAATCGTTTGTGGTAAGTACTTGCCTCCAATGACATCACCGTGTTAAAATAATGACTAAAAATGCTATTGTGTAAGTAAATTTTAGCATTTTAACTTCTTACATAGTTTTTACTGGGTAAGTTGTACTTACAATTAAAATTGTAAATTAAAGAATATGAAACACAATTTTTATTTTTATCTTATTTATTTAAAATTAATTTCGAATTATAATATCGTAATTTCAAAGAAGACCAACATAACTACATACTATTATTTTCATATCAGATTACAACCAAGGTAAATAATACCAATACTGCTGTGGAATTCAAAAAATTAATAAATACATACAAATACAAAAAAGAAAAATCAAAGAAATTAAAAAATAAAATGAAAAAAAAAAACACACACGCACAGTGTAACTACTAGCTTAAAGCGAATGGCAAACTTAACATCATTATTGTCATAATCATTGGCATATACGGGGAAAAAGGCATAAATATCGAAAAAAAACACAAATATGTATATTCATGTCATGAATGGTGAACGATTCGGAAAAACAATAAAGCAGCACAGAAAAAAAGTATTAAAATACAAAAACAAACAAACAACAGAATGAAAGAGGCAGGCAGCAGCAACTGCAAAAAAAAACTATTCAATATAACGATATGGAAATTCGTAATTAATTTATTTTTTTACGTATTAATTCTGAAACTGCCACGTTATCTCGTACACTCAGGTATTATTTATCTTTTCTGTATCGTGTGTGTGTTCACTGCTGTCACAACCATCCTCGATGGATCCATCATTAATGCCAACATCTTTGCCAGCACTGCCAATATCGCCGGTAAATAAATGCAGCAAACAGCTGCGTTTCACATACAAAAAGGCCACCAGTGCACACAAAAGAAAGGCGACACCAATCGAGCTGCCAATTAGTAGAGCACGCATTTTACGCTGCGATGGCACTTCAATTATTAATTCACCACTCGGCACTTGGTCGCCATCGGCGGAAATGGCCAATACACGTACTTTAAATGTGGAATCCTCTTTGAGGTGTCGCAATTGATAGAAATTGTCAAATGTTTCGACTGTGCCAACAAGATGATGTTCCGGTTCCTTCCACCAACGTACCGTATAGAGGCGTAACATGTCCAACCCCTGCTGTGGATGTTCCCAGTGTAGAAGCCAACCTTGTTGATTATTAATGGCACTTAAATTCCAGGGTGCACTTAAGCTACCCGTACTTGGTGAAGGATTGTTGTTGTTAGCGATGTCGTTGTCACTACTACTGCTGGGTTCACGATGCTGTGTGTATTCCACTCTAGTAGACTCTACGACGCCGACATTGTCTTCATCTGCTGTTACTTTCGATGATGCTGCAAACAGAATTGAGAGCGAAAAAAATTATATATAAAAGTATTAAAAAGTTTAATTTAAATAAAAGAAATAAAAACGAATTGCGAAAAAATTATTTAGATTTGTTTTTGTAGGACATATTGTAAAAAAGGAAAGTTTTATAATTTAACGTTGGCAAAAATAAGGACAGTAATAACTAAATGAAATAATTGTATTTGTATTCTAGCAATAATGAAGTACAAAAAAGTTTTTATTTAAATGCAACCGAAGTTAGTGTAATCTGAATACTAAGTCTGAAAAGTTAATGATCACTGAACTAGAACTGAACTAGAACTGAACTAGAACTGAACGAGAACTGACTGGAACTGGAACTGAACTAGAACTGAACTAGAACTGAACTAGAACTGAACTAGAACTGAACTAGAACTTAACTAGAACTGAACTAGACTGAACTAGAACGGAACTAAACTGAACTAGAACTGAACTAGAACTGAACTAGAACTGAACTAGAACTGAACTAGAACTGAACTAGAACTGAACTAGAACTGAACTAGAACTGAACTAGAACTGAACTAGAACTGAACTAGAAACTGAACTAGGACTGAACTAGAACTGAACTCAGAACTGAACTAGAAATGAACTAGAACTGAACTAGAACTGAACTAGAACTGAACTAGAACTGAACTATGAACTGAACTAGAACTGAACTAGGACTGAACTAGAACGTGAACTAGAACTGAACTAGAACTGAACTAGAACTGAACTAGAACTGAACTAGAACTGAACTAGAACTGAACTAGAACTGAACTAGAACTGAACTAGACTGAACTAGAACTGAACTAGAACTGAACTAGAACTGAACTAGAACTGAACTAGACTGAACTAGAACTGAACTAGAACTGAACTAGAACTGAACTAGAACTGAACTAGAACTGAACTAGAACTGAACTAGAACTGAACTAGAACTGAACTAGAACTGAACTAGAACTGAACTAGAACTGAACTAGAACTGACTAGAACTGAACTAGAACTGAACTAGAACTGAACTAGAACTGAACTAGAACTGAACTAGAACTGAACTAGAACTGAACTAGAACTGAACTAGAACTGAACTAGAACTGAACTAGAACTGAACTAGAACTGAACTAGAACTGAACTAGAACTGAACTAGAACTGAACTAGAACTGAACTAGAACTGAACTAGAACTGAACTAGAACTGAACTAGAACTGAACTAGAACTGAACTAGAACTGAACTAGAACTGAACTAGAACTGAACTAGAACTGAACTAGAACTGAACTGAACCTAGAACTGAACTAGAACTGAACTAGAACTGAACTAGAACTGAACTAGGACTGAACTAGAACTGAACTAGAACTGAACTAGAACTGAACTAGAAACTGAACTAGAACTGAACTAGAACTGAACTAGAACTGAACTAGAACTGAACTAGAACTGAACTAGAACTGAACTAGAACTGAACTAGAACTGAACTAGAACTGAACTAGACTGAACTAGAACTGAACTAGAACTGAACAGACTAGAACTGAACTAGAACTGAACTAGAACTGAACTAGAACTGAACTAGAACTGAACTAGGACTGAACTAGGACCTGAACTAGAACTGAACTAGAACTGAACTAGAACTGAACTAGGAACTGAACTAGAACTGAACTAGAACTGAACTAGAACTGAACTAGAACTGAACTAGAACTGAACTAGAACTGAACTAGGACTGAACTAGGAACTGAACTAGAACTGAACTAGAACTGAACTAGAACTGAACTAGGACTGAACTAGAACTGAACTAGAACTGAACTAGAACTGAACTAGAACTGAACTAGAACTGAACTAGAACTGAACTAGAACTGAACTAGAACTGAACTAGAACTGAACTAGGACTGAACTAGAACTGAACTAGAACTGAACTAGAACTGAACTAGAACTGAACTAGGACTGAACTAGAACTGAACTAGAACTGAACTAGAACTGAACTAGAACTGAACTAGAACTGAACTAGGACTGAACTAGAACTGAACTAGAACTGAACTAGAACTGAACTAGAACTGAACTAGAACTGAACTAGAACTGAACTAGAACTAGAACTGAACTAGAACTGAACTAGAACTGAACTAGAACTGAACTAGAACTGAACTAGAACTGAACTAGAACTGAACTAGAACTGAACTAGGACTGAACTAGAACTGAACTAGAACTGAACTAGAACTGAACTAGAACTGAACTAGAACTGAACTAGAACTGAACTAGAACTGAACTAGAACTGAACTAGAACTGAACTAGAACTGAACTAGAACTGAACTAGAACTGAACTAGAACTGAACTAGAACTGAACTAGAACTGAACTAGAACTGAACTAGAACTGAACTAGAACTGAACTAGAACTGAACTAGAACTGAACTAGAACTGAACTAGAACTGAACTAGAACTGAACTAGAACTGAACTAGAACTGAACTAGAACTGAACTAGAACTGAACTAGAACTGAACTAGAACTGAACTAGAACTGAACTAGAACTGAACTAGAACTGAACTAGAACTGAACTAGAACTGAACTAGAACTGAACTAGAACTGAACTAGAACTGAACTAGAACTGAACTAGAACTGAACTAGAACTGAACTAGAACTGAACTAGAACTGACTAGAACTGAACTAGAACTGAACTAGAACTGAACTAGAACTGAACTAGAACTGAACTAGAACTGAACTAGAACTGAACTAGAACTGAACTAGAACTGAACTAGAACTGAACTAGAACTGAACTAGAACTGAACTAGAACTGAACTAGAACTGAACTAGAACTGAACTAGAACTGAACTAGAACTGAACTAGAACTGAACTAGAACTGAACTAGAACTGAAGTAGAACTGAACTAGAACTAAAAAGAACTGAACTAGAACTAAACCAGAACTGAACTAGAACCAACATTTCAAAAATAACTTTTAGGTCGTTCATACCCAAATAATTTTGTTACTCAAAAATGCTACAGCTTACACTAAATGTTAAACAAACATTTTTAATTTTGCATCTCTAAATAATTGTTAATATTAAACAAGTATTCTTTTACTTCTTTCACAATTCATAGAAAACAATGGCAGAAATTCTCTTATTGAATTAAACTTACGTTGCGTTGAAAATCGAAATTGTTTACTGAACATGCCATCGCCATATTTATCCTGGCTCAGTACCATAAATTCATATTCGCGTCCCGGCTGCAGATGCTGTATTGTTGCTTCCATAACGTTCTTTTGTACGATACGCATTGTACGCCATTCTGGTGCATCCGTTAGACGATACCAAACAGTATATTCGAGATTCGGCCGCAAGTATCCTGTATGACAGTGCAAAAATAAAAATAATGCAGAAAAAAAAAATAAAGGGAAGAGGGTATTAACAAAACAAAAATAAAAATCATATATACTATATCCAATATATAGAACGAAATATGTTTGTGTGTATGCATATAAACTTAAAAAAGCAAACGGGTAAAAAATATTTAAATATACACAAATATGTGCGTTTAAACGGTAAAATGAAAAATTTTATTTGAATTTTTAGCTGCATAAGGAAAACTACTATCCATGGGTTTGTATAGCATATAAATATTTCTAGGTATGGTTGTATGTTTATGAAGAGAATTTAAATTATTTCTTTATTATAATTAAATTGCAATATAAATATTTTATTTCTGTATGGTAGCAATATATTTTTTCGTTAAATCATAACAATTCAGCGGGAAATATTGCAAGGGCTTCACTGTATAGGCCTTTTAAAGGACATATTAACACATTCTAAAAGTGCAATACTTATTACACCTTGCCTTCTAAGTATAGTTGTTCTGGACGTGGAGCCTCTAGATTAACATTGTATAATTTAAGCTGTTACAACAACATATTGCATTATTGCAAAAGGTGTTTAGGAAATAATATGAAATAGTCTAGTCTTTACTACTCTATAGACTAAAGACCTTATTCATAAAAATTTATCAAAAACAATTTTTAATACAAAATTAAAAACAATTTTTAATACAAAATTAAAAACAATTTTTAATACAAAATTAAAAACAATTTTTAATACAAAATTTGAACTATAAACCTTTGATAAATGTTTATTAATAGCACCCTAAGTATACATATATTGGCTTAATGGATTAGTATATTGGCTTGTCTATGGACTAGTTCATTGCCCAGTCCATGGGTTTTTAACTAGTCTATGGGCTACTTTATTGACTAGTTTTTGGACTTGTCTATAACTAATCTATCTAGTCTATGAAAGAGTATATTGACTATTGATTAGTATATTGACTAGTAAATGGACTAATCTATTGACAGGTCTTTGGACTAGTTTTTGGTTAGTTTTCATTAGTTTAACTTTAGCACTAACCAGCCCAGTCCATACACTAGTGGACTAGATTTTCGACAATGGAACTCTGTGATCTCCGATTGGAGTTGCACCTATTTGGTGCATAACCGTAAAGTTCACATATAAAGTAGATTCCTTCAGTCCGTAATCAAACTACAGTTCGCAATTTTCAAGATAATTTGATAAAATTTGGCACATACGTCGTTACTTTTCACCTAAGGACGAAGCCATTATTTCACCAAGCCTCTATACAACCGCACCCCCCGAATAGGGCGATCCAGTATCCCTACAAAAATCGGCATAACTAAGTTTTATAAGAGCCTAAATTATACGTCTGATTATCGTAATGATCGCGGTTCATTTGACCCTAGTCAGAAACAAAGCTCTTGTCAGACCTTCAGCAGAAGACAATTCAGTAACGGTTTTGCAACTTTGCGGTGTGTCCCTGGTCTTTACAAAACAATGCGCTTAGGAAGGCCTCTTTATTGCATAAATTTCCCGATGTTATATGTTTTTTATGCCCACCATCAAAAAAGATGGGGGTATATTGATTTTGTCATTCCGTGTGTAACACATCGTAATATTGTTCACAGACTCTATAAAGTATATATATTCTGGGACCTCGTAAGATTCTAAGACGATCTAGCTATGTCCGTCCGTCTGTCTGTTGTTGCACAAAAAAAAAAGAGATATTGAGATGAAATTTTCCTAAAATATTTTTTATTGATCAGAAATGTGTGGTATTGAAAATGGGAGCTTCAAACATTCACAAATTCGTTGTTTATGAAGCAAATACCAAAAAATTTCCCATAAGTCAGTTTTTTGACTTCTGAATTATGGCGGACATAGGACCATAATTGGCCCTACCCCCCATATAAGGTTCCCTTTAGAAAATGACTAAAAAGCTGATTACTGGCTTAAAAATGCCATAAGTTTTATGCGAGCCAATATCTCTCCACCAAATTTTATGTGGATCGGTACATAATTGACCCTACCCCCCATATAAGGTCCCCTTCAGAAAATGACTTTAACGCTCAATACGAGTATAGCGAAGAAATTTGTTATATGTTAGTACCTTAGGAGTCAAAACCTTTCCACCAATTTATATGTGGATCAGTCCATAATTGACCCTCCCCCCATATAAGGTCCCCTCCATAAAATTACTTTAACGCTCATTACTGGCTTAAAAATACGACTATAGCTGTGAATTACGTTTTATACTAGCCAAAACCTCTCTACCAAATTTTATGTGGATCGGTCCATAATTGACCCAACTCTCCATATAAGGTTCCCTTCAAAAAATGACTTTAACGCTCATTACTGGCTTAAAAATACTAGTAGAGCGATACCATATTTTATGAGGATCGGTCCATAATTAATCCTAACCCTGTATAAGGTCCCTTTAAGAAAATGACTTTAATGTTCATTACTAGCTTAAAAATATAAGTAGAACTATACAATTTGAAATAAATAAGGAACTGAAATCTTCACTGTCAATAGTTGAACCCCCATTAAGAGAACTATTTCAGATATTACCCTGATGTTCACAATAGTATCGATATATAATAATAAAATATTCAAAATATCAAAGTTTATTTATATGGCAGTGATTTGATGGTGGGTGGATAAGATTCGGCATGGCCGAATATAACACTTTTACTTGTTTAATAAAGTTTTGTGCAAAAAAATGTATGTGAAAATAGAATTGGAGTAAGAATATTTTATTAGTTTATGCCGAAATTTATTTATAATAATTTCTTCCAAAGGATGAACAGTTCTGCCCTTCGTTCGTTATTGTGCTTAATTATAGAATAAATTTTGTAAATATTAAGTTAATTTAAATACTCACAAAATTTATTAACTAAAATAGAATTGATACTAACTACGTATACATATAAAACTTTATAATAATTAATTAATGATAAATGTCTACAAATTACAAAATTTCTCAATACTCTGCCAATAGCAATTAATAACTTATTTAAGAAACACACATACATACAGAGGTATATGTATATAATGGAAATTATTTAAACAATCTCTAAATTGCAAACAAGACATTATTATTATGCTTCAAGATGAATTTCTAATAATTACTTTGAAAAAAAATTTAAACAGAAACTAAAGTTCAATTACTGAAAATTAATTAAGGACTAACAATAAGCCTGAAATATAAATTATTAAAGAATATGTTATGTATAAGAAAATAAATACAAATGTTCTTCTTTCCTTGAACACTTACCTGGTTGCCAACGTATGGTTATGGTAGTTTCACTACTATTTGCTGTTAAATTATATGGTGGCCTTGGCGATAAATTCTCAATCATTAATTCTGTTTCCGCAGTTATAGTGGCTGCTTCATTAGTTGCCACACATTCGTACATGCCACGATCTGTTTCAATGAGATTTGTTATGGTCAGTGTACCATCTTTGATGGTGGCACGTTCTTCGGGTAAGGGAGAACCATCCTTCTGTGGAATTAAAGAAAATATTAAAAAGAAAGTGGCATATTTTTGTGTGAGTATTACGGTAGTTAAAGTTTTGTGGGAACATTGAATTTAGGTATTTTAAATTTGAAAAATTTCGAGTAATTTTTGTTTTTAAATAGCTATCTGAACTCCTTTGGACAATTTTTGCTAGGACCAATAGGTGAAAAGTTACACTCATTTGAATAAAACCCTGTATGACCAAAATGTCCAACTTTTACCCCCTCTAAGTAAGGCAGTTCTTGACGGATATAGCTGAAAATGTGTGTCTGACCTACTATCCAATAGTAGTAAGTTTAGTTCAAATTTCGTCGAAATCGATTTTTTGCGTTGGGTCACTTGACATATATATAAAAAATGAATGTGTGTTTGTATGTTTGTTGGTTTTGACTTTATAGGCAGCTAAACGGATGTACCGATTTTTCTGAAATTTTTACAGTGTTTTCCTGTATGACTGGAAGGAATTATAGGCTACTTTTTACATCAAAATTTCAAGTGGACGAGGAACCACGCCCACATACATCCTCCCATATGAATTAAATACAAAAATTCGTTTATCTTAGAATCTAATAATCTAAAGTCTGGATTAAACTCTAATTAATTGTCTTGACTATATTATTTACTATAATTTAGTTTATATTAGTAGTGTTTTGTTGCTAACGTTCAAAGGCAATTTCATATAAATTTAAAATTTATAAACGTTAGGAGTTAACGTGCAAAATTATACAAGTTAATTTTAACGTCGATAAAAGTGCTACCAATTCAAAACTAAAAATACAAATATTAATGTGTTTATGTCAAACAATAAAAAAATATTTTAAAATCAAATTTAAATCAAAGAAAATTACCAAATAAAAAATCCTTTTCAAGAAATTGTAAATAATTTCAAGATTTAGCAGATTTCTTCTGTGGAGTGATGCCAAGTCAGGTAATGTTCGTTTTGTTGCTAACTTTAAGTGTTAACACTCATTGTTAGCAACAAAACACAACTATTCTATACTAGTGACTATATTTTCTATACTAGTGACTACGTTCTATGTTCATACATACATATGTATTTTCTATAGTCTAGTCCATAAGCTTTTTAAAGAATTAATCTAGAATATAATCTAGCCTAGTCTTGGGCAAAGTAATTATATAGTCATGACTATAGTCTAGTCTATAGCTTTGGCGCTACGAACGAAGTCCCCAATGAACTAAATCCTTAAACTGATATTGTTTAGTCTATAATTAAACTAAACACTATATATAATGCGATATACTATATATATAATGCGTTGGCTAATTCTCTATTCAAATAACACAGGTCTGTGTACAGAGCAGCATATGCTGGATTCCTGAACCCGATCGGTATTTCTTACCGGCCGTGTAGTAGGGAGCCGGTATATGCTGGGGAATTGTCAGGTTAGCGTTCAGTAGAAAGATCTTTATGATCATGGAATGGAACTGATGCAAAAAATGGTGAAAGATTATGAAGTCTCCATATATTGGAGACTAGTACTGATTTAGTATGCCCTTTTAGGCTTCGGGGAAGTTTCTCGGTGCTGTTGCCATCTCAACAGGATATATTGATTCATGCAAAGCGACTATTTATCCGGCCAATTATTGGGTTCAGTTGACTTTGGAAATTCTTACATCCTTTGTTACAGATCGGTTTATGAAGAGGGAAACTGATTTATTATCTTGGGTATTTCGGGCTACCAAATACGTTTCTAGGTGCTGTTGTCAAACTAACAGAAGCCATCTCAGTAGTGTGGTTGGGCGACATATAAAATCCAGGAATGCACTGGTCTTTAGATGATGAACTGGGATCTATATACATAAATTGCCACCGGCGTGTAAAAAAACACAATGGGGCGGTGGTAAGTCGTTATATTTTAGCTCACCCAGCGGATGAAAAAACCACCTTGAAATAGGCCAACATGGCAGGTGTTCACGTAAATCACTTCGACATTCGTGACTGTAGTCTAGTATTGACTGTAATCTAGAACATATGTAGTTTTATTATAGTCTAGTCCTTGATCTTGACTAAGTATGACTATTTAAAAGTTTTGTCTATAGTCCAATTTGTAGTCTGGACTATAGTATAGTTCATAGACTTAATTATGCCTAGTCTACACGGAGAATAATCCATGCCTATATGGTTATGTAATATACTAATTTATGTATATGAAATTGTAAGAAATATTTTTTATAATAATTATATAAATTGTAAAATTATAAAAGAGTTTGATTCGTATTATATACGAAATTTTCGTAAATATTACGAAAAAAGTAGTTACCATTTTTTTTCATTTTCAGTGTATGTTGTATATAGACTATTGTAGTCTAATTTATAATTTTAACAATAACCTTGTCTATAGGTTTATACATAATCTTCTATACATACTTTACTATATTAGAGTTTTTAGTCTTGTCTTTCTGCATAGATGCTATATCCCATATTTATTTGGAAATTTTCCAAAATTGGAACTAAGGGTTAAAAACCTTTTTAATCTTAACTTCATTCGATGTAAGTACTTTTATAAGAATTAATACTTTTTTCATAAGTGCTTCATTTAAAGCTAAAATTTGTATTGAGTAATAATTATTTTATTGATAAATTATAGTGTAAAGTATTTTAGTATTTAAACGTTTTGCTATAAATTCGGAGAAAGTTAACTTTAATAATTAATATTAAAGTACTGGACAATATTATTTGAGGGTTTATACCGTACTAAGTACCACAGTAGTGTCTATAAATATAAAATCATGCAAAATTGTTATTAACATTAAATTGCCATTAACAAAAAAATAAAATTTTTAAAATTTCACACGTGCTGTAGATGATATTTTTGGAATATCAGATATTTAGAAATTGTGAATATAAATGACCAAAAAAAACTTCTGGGAATTTAAAATATTTCAATATAATTTCGGGTTTTAAAATATAAAAAAAACTGGATCTGCTTGTTATTAAACTGAAAATCATGTATTTTTACAAAATGTTTGATTCTTTCTAAAATGAAGTGCCTTGATTTAAAATGGAATGAATTGATATCATTTATTGTTAAAAGTTAAATCTAATAAACCAACAAGCATTGCACTTACACTTCAATTTTACTTGTTTCAATCAAGTTAAATGTGTGAATACCCCAATAATTTGTAAAAGCACACGCAATTACAGTGGACAACAGGTGGAATATCCAAAAATAGTTAATATTTTAAAAATACAATATGAACAGTTTGAGTACTTAAGAAAATTCACATTAATCTTTAAATTTGTTTCATATAAAGTCCTACTTTTGACATTACCACTGTTTGTTGGGGATTTTTTTTCAAAATTTTGTGCACATTTTTTATGGCTATAAATTGTATTTGAACAATTAAGAAAACAAGTCTATAAACGAATGAAAATTGCGTAGTTGAGACGATTTAATAATTCCCTATAACAAATTATTATATAGTTTGTCACTTTTTTTCTACATGAAGTGATTTAATATGATGTTTTAGCGAATTTTGTGAAATTCATATTTTCTTCGAAATTACATTTTTTCTATATTAATCATTTAGTACTAATTAAATTTAGTACTATTTGCTGCATTTAATATTGTTAGTCTATGATTTTTGTGGAGATAAATACATATCGCTCATTTTCTACAAGACTGACATAATCCAAAAATAGTAGTTTCGAGAAAAATCAAGGGATCTGAAAAACTAAACCAGATTTAGATAGTAGAGGTTAACATGTTTCTCATCTAGATTGTAATTAGATTTTTTTATTACTCATATGAAATTATGAGTCTTAGTTTCTATATTTACAATAAAAAATCGATATCACACCGAAAATAATAGACATATTTGAAATATATATAAATCTATATGGAAGACTTTAGTCTGACACATGTTTTGTAGCTTTTAATTCACAAAAAACCCGAATTTTGGATTATGCTCGTCTTGTAGTAAATGAGCGTTATCGTATATAGTATAGAAAGAGCTTTGTTTATAATGAATTAATTTTTACAAGCACAACGTAGTACCCGTAGACCTCACACTTTGTAGGTAGTGGCAATAACTAAAATAATTTATTAACAAATTGAATTTACTAAGAAAACAGTTAAATAAAAGAGTGTGTTCATCAAAGTGATTTTCTTTATAAAAAATCAAGGCTTTGATCCAAGGTGGCTTGATGATCATAATATTTGACAGAAAGATATAAAACTAGTTCATGACGAATTTTATCGATATACTGGTATTTTTAAATCAGTTATGGCCGTTAATGGCCCAAACGGCTGAACCTAGAATCATGAAATTTTGACAGTAGATGTGTTTTTTGGTTATGTAGATCCACTAAGGAGGGATTTTTGGAAATTTGTACACTTACTGGTAAAAAGGGGAAAAACGGGTAAAACAGGTTTTCTTAATAATCTTACACAATATTAGTGATACAAGAAAAATTTTAAATGCACCTGTATCTACTCTTAAAATGAGCAGACGGGTGTATGGTACTTTTTTGAAATTCGTACTTTTAAGGGGTAAAAATGTGTAACAAAGGTGATTTTAGTACCTTTTTTGGCCCTTTATAACTTTTGAACTAATTAATATAATATATTACTTATAAATATTTTAGATACATCTCCCAAAATTATGAGACACCTGTTTCGTACTTTTTTAAAATTCAGTCCTTTTTGGGTGTAAAAGGGAGAAAACTGTTTTTATGGTACTTTTTTTAGCACATGAAGAAAACTTTTTCGGTTTACTGAATTATTCCTATTAAATTACGGACTAATTCCGTAATATTTATTGTAATAAAATTTTTGCTATTTCACTGGGGAAAAAAGTACCAAAAAGGGAAAAAACGGGAAATTTAATTTTATTCAAACACATTGAGCCAATTTTTATAAAATTTTAAAAAGTAGTTTATTTACTCAAACAAAATAAGTTGTTGGTATATTATTTTGGAATTCGAGTACTAAGATCTATATAGGACCAAATTCGAGTAAATTGTTTGGTACTTTTTGAAAGCACTATTTTTCTGGCACAAATGAATGCAGATTTGAATCGTTTGAGTTTAATCTGTGATATATAGATTTAAATAGGGAACATTTTGTAAACTTAATTCACGAAAGAGTATATTTCTAAGCGAAAAGGGAAAAATTGTACTCTTTTTATTAGTACTTTCCACTAAGGTAAAATTTATTCCACTTTTGGTACTTTTTCTTTCTTCAAATGATACACTTTGTATATTCTTTAATATGAATTCAAAACACATGATTATTAAACACGGTCCTAATTGAATAAGATTCTTTAAGAGAGATCTTTTTAGTACTTTTTATCTCATAAATACTTTTTTAATTTTCTAAAATATTCAACCTAGGAACATTAATTTTAACATACATGGTCTTGACTGAATAATATTCTGTAAGTGGGAACTATTTGGTACTTTTCTATTCTTCAAATGGTACCTTTTAGATTCTCTATAATGGTTAACCGGAACACACTGTCCTTATTAAATGAGAATTTATTGAGACAGATTTTTGTACTTTTTCGTTTTTCCGATGGTACTTTTTGATATTTTTACGATATTGAACATAGATATTGAAAATAAAATTTAAAATGTAAGGTCCCTACATGTGAATGAGAATCTACTGAAAGGGACTTTTGGTACTATTTCATTGATCAAATTATATTTGTTGAATTGATTAAATGATTAATCTATTAGAGGTATTTTATAGTACTTTTTTCAAATAGTACTTTCGAAATTTTATATAATGTGGAAGCTAAATGAATAAAACTAAAAATACAAGCTTTTTACTGAATGCGAATTTAATCACGTGATATTGAACGTATAAAACTGAAACATTAAAAAAATGTTTAATCAATTTTAATTTTCTATAAAAGTAAACAAAATTTTGTATGTATTTAATTTAAGTTAGGGTAGCGAAGCACCCAGGTGTTTCCATAAAACTTGTTTATGTCGAATTACATTGCTTTACTATAATTTTGAAGAAGTTGTTTATGTCGAATTTCGTTGCAATTTTTTTTATCAATTTCGTTGATATATTGGAATTTTGCGGCAAATTTTGAACATTAAAGTAATTTACTGAGACCTTATATGGGGCAATCTCTCATAAAATTTGGCTGAGAGATTTTAGTTTCCCGAAAACTTGTTTACATTGAATTTCGTTGCTTTACTGCCAATTTGCACCAAGTTATGAGCGTTATAGTCATTTTATGAGGGGACCTTATATCGGGGGAAGGGTCAATTTTGAACCGATCCTCATAAAATATGGCAGAAAGCTTTTAGTTCCTCTAACAGTTGTTTATGTTGACTTTCGATGATATACTGGAATTTTGAAGAAAGTTATGAATGGGGACCCTTGTATGAGGGCTAGGGTCAACTATGGGCCGATCTCCATTAAATATGGCAGAGATATTATAATTTTCCTAAAACATGTTTACGTCGAATATCGTTGCTTTACTATTATTTTGAAACAAGTTATAAGGGTCAAAGCAATTTTCTGAAGGGCTGCTTATATAGGGAGTCAAGGGTCAATTATGAGCCGATCTCCATAAAATTTGTCCCCTAAAACTTTTTTAAGTAGAATTTCTAGGGTCAGTTATGGACCGATTCCCATACAATTTTGTAGATTATGACCCGATCTCCATAAAATTTGTCATAGAGATTTTAGTTCCCCTAAAACTTTTTTTATGTAGAATTTCTAGGGTCAATTATGAGCCGATCTCCATAAAATTTGTCGGAGAGATTTTAGTTCCCCTAAAACTGGTTTATGTAGAATTTCGTTGCATTGCTATAATTTTTAAGCAAGTTATGAGCGTTATAGTCGTTTTCTGAGAGGCCCCTTATATGGGGGGTAGGGTCAGTTATGGACCAATACTCATAAAATTTGGTAGAGAGATTTCGTTCACATAAAACTTGTTTATGTTGAATTTCATTGACATACTGATGTTTTAAAGCCAGCTATGGCTGTTTACACTGTTTTTCGGGGATCACTTTTATGGGGGCTATGCGAAAACATGGATCGATATCGCCCATTTTCAATACCAAAGAAATAAAATAGGCTTTGTCCTTGGATCAAAATAACAGCATGTGACAAATTTCACAAAATTATCTTGAAAATTTATACCTGTACGGATGGAAGGACGGAAGGAAGGACAGATGGACAGATATTCCTAAAAAGTCTGTTTCTCGGGACACTTTATTGCCCATATATCCCTTATTTATGGAACGACTGATTTTTAATGGAAGCATGTCACATAAAATTAATCAAGATTTAGATTCCTAAGATATCTGAGGTCTTCAAAACATTGATTTCAAGAAATATACAGATAGACATACAAACGGACGCACATACCATAATCTACACCGCTATCTATAAGGATCCAAATTTCTTTATTGAGTTAGAAAATTATATTATCGAAATTACTAAAGGAATGACAAACTTCTGTTGTAGCATAATCATATAAGTTGAAATCTAAATTTCAATTACATGAATTCACTCTTTTACATCAAATACATCTTACAGAAAAACTTTGGTATAAAATCTGTTATCTTAACATGTTATGAAATTAAAAGCTTCTGTGGTTTACATGGGATCAGTTCGTATTAGATTGAATATTTGAACCGGTGTTTTAATTAAAATAGAAACATATTGGTTTATAAACAATAATAAAAGCTATAAAATAATAAATTAAATATCGAGTATAATGTATTTACGTTGCAAAAATGTATTTTTAATAGCATTATGTTTAGCATCAACAACAGCATATCCAAAATTCAAAAATGATTGTAATAAATCATTAACAAATATAAAAGAAATAAATAATTATAATAACAAAAACAGTGAGTCAAATCAACAATTAACGAATTGCTCAAAAAAATATCAAAGCAATAGCAAAGAACAGGTAAATTTTGCATATGACTTAAAAAAGTAATTTAAGTTTTCAATTATATCATATTTCCCAAGCAGTTGGATACAGTTTTAGAAACACATAAAGAACAAAAAAGAGATTTACAATGGGGATATAGTGCTCAATCAAAAGTATTCTTTCCTGATGACGAATATCTAACATATTTAGGTATACCCTATACAAATAATGACAAAGCCATCGAAATATTACATGCTGGTCCACAATCTATAGACTTCAGTAAAAGTCCAGAAAGCATTGAAACAACTACAATACCTAGCACTACTACTACCACTACTTCTAAACCCAAAGATAAATCTCCCGCCGATGATATCCTATTAAGTGAACTCACAAATTTATCACTGGATCTTGATGATGAAGTGTCTGTGGGTCAAAAAATCGAAATGAAACGTTCTGATTTGAAATCAGACACCGATTCCCTTAACCCAACTGGCGTGGAAATATTACAAAATACGTCTCTGATTTGTGGTTCATCGTTGGGTAAAAGAATTTCGTTTGCTAATGAAACTACTTTAATGGAATTTCCCTGGACAGCTTTACTTTTGTATAATACTAAAATACGTTATCATTGTGGTGGTAGTCTAATAACCACAAAGTACGTACTAACAGCTGCTCATTGTGTAGCTCAGGAATTTTATGAATTGTGAGTAAAAGTTTATTATCTTGAGTTTAGAGTAAATAATTCTTATATTTTTTTCTTAGAACTGGTGTACGTTTGGGAGAACATGATGTTACCGAGGATCCAGACTGTGCTCCGGACTTAGGTGGTGATGACATATGTGCTACGACAGTGGATGTTACTGTCGTTAAAATTATAGTTCATCATGCGTATTCACATTTATCGTTTAAAAATGATATAGCTCTGCTGATGCTGGATAAGGAATATTTAAGTAGTAAGTTTTTATATACAATACATAGTGTTTTTTATACCCTACACCACAATATACGTTTGTGTAGATGTTTGTAACATACCCATCTTAAAGTATACTAATAGGCTTAGATAATTTTCTGAGTCGATTAAGCCAAGTCCGTCTGTCCTTACAATCAAAGCACATTATGTCTAAGTGCTTAAGGTGAACACCTGCCTTGACGGCTTATTTCTTTTTCATCCACTAGGCTTGAGATGGTCTACCACGCGCCACTGAATCCTTCTATGAAGAACTCAGGTGACAATTTTGTACATGGCTGTGCCGGTCCATGTACAATCACTTTGTTGAAGTACTCGAGCTATCTAATCTTTTGCCATAGTAGCCCCGTTGTGGAATGATGGGCAGCATGGGATCAATCCCAATGCAAACTCCGACAAGGAAATAGCAATCACTGGTCTAAAGTCAATAGACTACCCAAACATTAGGTGAAATCAATCTTCCGGTATATCAGAAGGTTACCACACTTATGATGTTATGAAAGATTGCATTATTTAAACTGCAATCCACATCAACTAGTGACCCATTCCAGCGCATTCCTTAACCTCTTAAAGCCCACGCAACCACACTACTGAGGTGGCTCTGCTATTTCAGCAACACAACCTAGAGACGTATTTGGTAGTCCGAAATACCCAGTCAATAAATCAGGATCTCAACCATAAGTCGCGTAGCATGAAACTATATGAATCCTGTTGAGATGGCAACAGCACCGAGAACTTCCCTGAAATAAAAGGTCTACTAAATCAGTTCTAGTCTCCTGTCGGGCAGATGAGTCTTTCCCGATCGTTCAAGTCCAATTACATCAGTTCCATTCTCAGACCATAAAGAACGATCTACGGAATGACAGGCAACTACCAAGTGTCAACCTGAAAATTCCCCAACCTATACTGGCGCCCAACTACGCGAAGAGTAAGAGATACTCCACGGGTTCAGGATTCCAGCATAAGTTGCTCTGTCACATCACCCAGTGACATCTGTTGAGAAGGCAACAGCACCGGAGAGAGAGAATCCGCGAATTTGGGTTTCAACCACATCCACTACATGGATCCCGAAGGAACCTCAACCAACTGACCTGCCAGAACAAGTCCTGCGGGAAACTGGCCGCCCGTAGTGATAGATTATATGGTGCTCTGGCTAGACCCCATGTCAAATCATTCCAAGGAAAGGCCGAGGATACATTTGATCATCGCCAGCTTATAGTACCGGCAGACTAGAGGTACTAGTAGCACCTCTTTACTCCGGAATTGCAATACACCAAGATGCGGGTCATCAAGGATACATGGCCCGAGGGGCAATTAAAGCACAGGTCGAAATTTTAAAGATAATTTAAGATTGGTCCTACATCCAACTTAAACTATACCAATCTGCTTAGAATCATTTTTTTAGTCCGTCTTTCGATTCTTCGTCCGTCCATGTAAACCTTGTAATCAAAGTTCAGGTCGCAAGATTAAAGATAAATCATTAGGACAAGTTGAATGACTAGACAAATGCAAGACTGACTGCAGGGACACTAGTGGTCGAAATCTAGAAATTTATTCATATCGATGGCGCAAATTTCAGACTGAAGAACGACGAAGACAAAAGGCAATCTGATAGAGACCTAGCTTTCGAAAAATCCCAGAAGCATAAATACCAAAGGCCCTCAAACTCATCCTGCCTAGCCTTTGTAGGATGGTGCCACAATCAATGTTATCATTACATAATAAGGCAATCTCTTTGAAGCTAAGACTCCATTTTTAGCAGACCTATTACTTATAATGACAGATACTGTATTCGCACTATTGTCCTGAAATGATGTTCACACGTAGCTAATGAAGCTAGTGGGTGTATGTTTACCATAGATCAGAATAATTCTTAAGACCCCATCATAGAGTATTTTTAACCATCATTCTATTTCATGTATTTCAGGATCATTTTATCCAATTTGTATACCATCTCCCGATATGACATTTAACGATGGAAGAGCCCTTGTAGCTGGTTGGGGTGCTACTGAAAAAAGTATGTATAAATTGCTTACGAACCATCCAAATAAATATATGTCTAAAAATTTTTTAGAACAACTCGTATAACAAATTTTATTTCTTTCTCTTCCTAAGCAATACATTCGGCCGTTTTATTAAAAGCTGAGGTACCCATTTTAGATATTTCAAAATGTAGCGAAATATATCGTTATAGTGTTTTCAATGATTCAACGGAAATCTGTGGATCTGGTGTTAATGAAATTGATGTTTGTAAAGGCGATTCGGGAGGTGCAATATTTTATCGCAAAAGCAGTGGAAAGAAAGACAAATATCATATGTTGGGTATTATATCGCTGGGAGTAAGACGTTGTGGTGATAGCCGTTTCTTACCTGCGGTATTTACAAAATTGAAAGGTTTTTACAAATGGATTGAAAATAATTTGGAATAGTAATTAACTTGTTATTTTTTTAACTATTAGTAATTGTAAATATAAGAAAATAAACAAATACGACTTTTTATTATACTAAAATAAGTAAAACATTGATTGTCCTTCCAATCGATACCAACTTCAACATAAACTCCTTTTCGGCTTATTATTGAATTCATAAAGATAAAGTGACATCTGATTTGTTGGTTTATGTAAACAACAAATACAGTTAAATCACAAAAGTCGTATAATCAGAAATAATAACACAATAGGCACACAAACTAGATACACAAACATCTACTTACAAAACCCACTTTTTGATTTGAAATAATAAACATACATACACATTCAACTTACCCTTTTCCAATCAATAGACGGATGATTAGTGCCATCTCGATCAATGGCTTGACATGGCAATTCAGTAGTTTCACCTAATTTCTGTATGTAAATTGCTTTCGGTGTTATTGTGAATATTGGTGGTCGCAAAACAATTACATTAATGACAGGCGATGGACCATCGGTACCCAGATCATTGTATGGCGTACATGTATAACTGCCAGCATGTGATTCATCAACTTTTGAAAAGAATAAACTACCATTCATTTTATAGAATACACCCTGAAGATGTAAAAAAATAAAAATAGGAAAAAAGTTAGAAATTTACTTACAAATAGAGCAAATGAAAAAAAAGTATTCATATCAACACTATTTCTATTTGTAAATGTCTTTGTGTTAAGGGAAATTGTGTTGAATTATACGACTTACTGGTACATTGTATGAATCAAAGAGTAGTCCATCTTTTTCCCATCTAAGATTCTTTAATGGTGGATTCGCACGAAAATGACAATCTAAAACTGCTGGCTGACCGTATGGTAAATAAACCTCTGGTGGTGCATAAATTACTTTGGCTTTATCTGTGAATGAGAATGAAACATGTGAAATATAAAAAGTTTTCTTTTTTTTAGTCTTATGTACATTAGAGTATCCCAAGCAACCACCTTTGTAGGAATACCTCTCAATTGATGCCTCCTAATAAAGTGTATACGAACAGAAATTTCACTGAGGTCAGGATTTTCAATCGATGGTAGGGAACTAAATCACTTTAAAAAATTTTTTGTTTTTCTCATATTTAGCACATTAATACGCATTGTTTGAGAGAATATCCTACAAAAAAGTGGTACACGGGACACCCTAATATACATTTGTATGTATGTACGTCATAGAGTGGAAAATATGAGGGTCATTTAATTTCCCTTTTATAGTCTAGTCTATAGTCTAGTCTATAGTCTAGTCTATAGTCTAGTCTATAGTCTAGTCTATAGTCTAGTCTATAGTCTAGTCTACAGTCTAGTCTATAGTCTAGTCTATAGTCTAGTCTATAGTCTAGTCTATAGTCTAGTCTATAGTCTAGTCTATAGTCTAGTCTATAGTCTAGTCTATAGTCTAGTCTATAGTCTAGTCTATAGTCTAGTCTATAGTCTAGTCTATAGTCTAGTCTATAGTCTAGTCTATAGTCTAGTCTATAGTCTAGTCTATAGTCTAGTCTATAGTCTAGTCTATAGTCTAGTCTATAGTCTAGTCTATAGTCTAGTCTATAGTCTAGTCTATAGTCTAGTCTATAGTCTAGTCTATAGTCTAGTCTATAGTCTAGTCTATAGTCTAGTCTATAGTCTAGTCTATAGTCTAGTCTATAGTCTAGTCTATAGTCTAGTCTATAGTCTAGTCTATAGTCTAGTCTATAGTCTAGTCTATAGTCTAGTCTATAGTCTAGTCTATAGTCTAGTCTATAGTCTAGTCTATAGTCTAGTCTATAGTCTAGTCTATAGTCTAGTCTATAGTCTAGTCTATAGTCTAGTCTATAGTCTAGTCTATAGTCTAGTCTATAGTCTAGTCTATAGTCTAGTCTATAGTCTAGTCTATAGTCTAGTCTATAGTCTAGTCTATAGTCTAGTCTATAGTCTAGTCTATAGTCTAGTCTATAGTCTAGTCTATAGTCTAGTCTATAGTCTAGTCTATAGTCTAGTCTATAGTCTAGTCTATAGTCTAGTCTATAGTCTAGTCTATAGTCTAGTCTATAGTCTAGTCTATAGTCTAGTCTATAGTCTAGTATAGTCTAGTATATAGTCTAGTCTATAGTCTAGTCTATAGTCTAGTCTATAGTCTAGTCTATAGTCTAGTCTATAGTCTAGTCTATAGTCTAGTCTATAGTCTAGTCTATAGTCTAGTCTATAGTCTAGTCTATAGTCTAGTCTATAGTCTAGTCTATAGTCTAGTCTATAGTCTAGTCTATAGTCTAGTCTATAGTCTAGTCTATAGTCTATTCTATAGTCTAGTCTATAGTCTAGTCTATAGTCTAGTCTATAGTCTAGTCTATAGTCTAGTCTATAGTCTAGTCTATAGTCTAGTCTATAGTCTAGTCTATAGTCTAGTCTATAGTCTAGTCTATAGTCTAGTCTATAGTCTAGTCTATAGTCTAGTCTATAGTCTAGTCTATAGTCTAGTCTATAGTCTAGTCTATAGTCTAGTCTATAGTCTAGTCTATAGTCTAGTCTATAGTCTAGTCTATAGTCTAGTCTATAGTCTAGTCTATAGTCTAGTCTATAGTCTAGTCTATAGTCTAGTCTATAGTCTAGTCTATAGTCTAGTCTATAGTCTAGTCTATAGTCTAGTCTATAGTCTAGTCTATAGTCTAGTCTATAGTCTAGTCTATAGTCTAGTCTATAGTCTAGTCTATAGTCTAGTCTATAGTCTAGTCTATAGTCTAGTCTATAGTCTAGTCTATAGTGTAGTCTAGTCTAGTCTATAGTGTAGTCTATAGTCTAGTCTATAGTCTAGTCTAGTCTAGTCTCGTCTATAGTCTAGTCTATAGTCTCGTCTATAGCCTAGTCTATAGTCTAGTCTATAGTCTCGTCTATAGTCTAGTCTATAGTCTAGTCTATAGTCTCGTCTATAGTCTAGTCTATAGTCTAGTCTATAGTCTAGTCTATAGTCTAGTCTATAGTCTAGTCTATAGTCTAGTCTATAGTCTAGTCTATAGTCTAGTCTATAGTCTAGTCTATAGTCTAGTCTATAGTCTAGTCTATAGTCTAGTCTAGTCTATAGTCTAGTCTTTAAAACGTAAAAGTGGATTTGGGAATTATTTTCCAAAATGGAATGACCCTCATAACTACAATACAAGTGACACACATACTCATACACATAAACTTACATTGTATATTAAGAAATGCTTTGGCGGTTTGGACTTCATCATCATTACTGCGTACATGACATTCATATTCACCATAATCACTCATCATAGTTGGATCAATACTTAAACTGCCTTGTGGACTCAAACGTGAACGATGTATTAGATCGGGTATATCTTGCAATAAAACACCGTCCTTATACCAAGAGGTCTCTGATGTATTTGGATATTTCATGACACAATGAAAGAATGCTGTCTGTCCTTCCATAATTGTTTGATTCACTGGTGGTATTTTTATGAGAGAGCCACCTAAAAACGAAAACAGAACAGTTACAGATAAATGTAATGATAGAAAAATGTGAACGTATAAGTTTATAGAGGATGAAAAATGAATACAAGGATACACTTGGTATAACACAATAAAAGTTCATTAGTTTGTTAAAATGGATAAGGATGATAATACTACACTGATTGTTGTTTTTGTTTATGCCGAGTGAGTATCACATACTGCAATTGTGTTATTTGTATCTAAGGATTGTTTAAGTGTGTGTAACAAATTTTTCTTAATTATGATTGCCATAATTATCGCATGTAGTTAAATATGTCTATGCTAGTAAAGTTATGTTAACAACTCTTCTTCGATATATTTATTTGAGTTATTTTCGGGTTTCTGTGCTTCGCGAGAAGAATGAAAATAAGTTTTTTTTGTTAACTTACCTTGTACCGTCAGATAATACCATGTACCGTTATTGCGTATACTTGGTGTACGATTGGGAAATACTATTTGGCAGTGATACCAACCCTGATCTGATTCACGTATTGCAGTTAAATTTGCAGTTGCTTTACCATAATCTTCATGATTTGTAATGATATTTAAACGTCCGTTATATAATTCATTTGCTGATGCTTCACCTTCGTACCAGGTAAAGATTTTTTTATCCTTAAAGTAGAAAAAAAAAACAAAAATTTAATAAGATTAGATCACAAGCTATTATGTCTTAACAAGATGTCAGTTTTATTTACATAAGACTAACATCATGACGTCAATAAAGTACAGTTCGTTTTGGAACATAGGCATATGGAGTTTAAGACCGAAATGAGTTGATCCTAAAGAAATATAGTGCAACAATTTAGTCATTTAGAAACGCTAGCCAACAAAAATGTAAAAAAGTCGACACACAAAGATATGATCACCAAGTAAGAGAGAGTTATATTTGGCTAAGTCAAATCATTAAGCATGTCCTGCAAACTTAAAGTAAATTTATTTAATATCAGCATGAAGATTTTATCCTTCATCTGGACTCAATTATGGACCAATTTCTTTCAAAAAGAGTAATTCATTTTTAAAAGAAAATTATTTTTGTCCACATTTATATAATAATACTCAACTTTTGGAACGACTTACTGACAACAAACTGTGTTTTTTTAAGAGAGGTTATATGATGTGATATTATGGACTGATCCTTAAAATATTTGTTAGAGAGATAGGTTCCCATAAAATATATAAGTTTGTCATTCCGCGTGTAGCACCAAGAAATATTCATCTGAGACCCAACAAATTATATATATTCTGGGTTCTTCTCAAATTCTACGTCGATTTAGCTATGTCCGTCTGTCCGCCTAAAACACGCTTACGTTAAAACTAAGCAAATTAAATAAACCAAATTCACCAAAAATATTTGTTGTTATCCTAAGTAATGAAAATCCGCAAAATCGGTTTACAATGTTAAAAGTTATGAGTAAAAATTTCGGACTACCTCGAAAAAATTAAGCCTTTTTCATAATTTTTAAGTCGTTTTCTAAGAAACTACAAAATATAATATGATGAATTTTGTCACACGATACTTTTTTTTATTCAGGGATCAATTATGCTGAAAATCAAAACAAACGAACCAAAATTTCCCATAGCCCCCATACTAAGGTACAAATTTCCAGAAATGGATTTATCGTTAATAACTTAAACAAAAATATCGGTATCAACTCAAAATTTTGCACATATACTTAAATATAATATTAACAGAAACTATACTACTAACGTAGATTTCAGTTGGCCCACAATTGGTCATAGCTCCCATATAAGGCCCACTTCCGAAAATCACTTAAACGCGCATTTTTCACTGATAAATAAATCTATCGAGATAAAATTCGACATGAATATGTTTTGTGTATATATAAGGTCCACTTCCGAAAATCACTTAAACGCGCGTATTTCATTGACTAATTAAGCTGTCGTGGTAAAATTCGACATAAATATGTTCTGTGTGTATACAAATAAGTGGTCATATAAGGTCCATTTCCGAAAATCACTTAAACGCTTGTATTTCATTGATATATAAAGTTATCGAGATAAAATTCGGCTCGCATATGTTGTGTATATGTATCAATTATTCTACGAATTTTTTTCTGGATAGGCCTTTAATTGGTCATAGCTCCCATATGAGGTCCACTTTCGAAAATAACTTAAACGCATATAATTTATTAACTAATAAAGCTATCGGCGTAAAATTCGACGTGAATATGTTTTGTATATATATAAATGGTTATGCGAAATTTTTCTCGGATCGGTTCATAATTGGTCACAACTCCCAATAAGGATCATTTCCGAAAATATCTTAAATGCACAATTTCATTGACAATAAATGTTATCGGGATAAAATTAAACTTGAATACGTTTTGTGTATATATAATTCAGTATACGCAATTTTTTCCGGATCGGTCCATAAATATTCATAGCTCCCATATAAGGTTCACTTCTGAAAATCATTTAATACCACATAACTCATTATTAAATGATTATATTCAGATAAAATTCGACTTGAGCATATTCTGTGTATAGATAAATCATTCTGCTAAAATGTTTTCCAACTGATCCCATATAAGGCCAAAAAAATCCATATCCGAAAATGACTTAAAATAAATTGTTTCGACATCATCAAAATAAGTTCCATATATGAATAAAGAAATTACTAAATGATAGTACCCTCACCACGGAAACAAAACATATGCCGAGTTATCTAAACACTAGATAGTTAAATGGGCTTTAATAAAAAATAGCTTGCTGGTGGAGGGTATTTCGGCATTGCCGAATTGTTTTTGGTCGAATTCACTGGTATTCTGTAATTTTTAAGGTAGTAAAGGGTGTTGAAATTCATATGCTGAAGGGTCTTTATATAGTCAATAAAAAGCGTAACTAAAGAAGCGTGACTAAATAATTATAAAGAATTAATATTAAATGATATTATGTATTAATAAAACGTCATTAGAATACTTCTACGTATTCAGGACGATATGTAGTACTCAGTGAAAATTTAATATTTGGAGACTTTCAGCCCAACTGGGGTTAAGATCCAAATTTAAAACATAAATTTTGGAACACATTCTCCCTAGACATGTGAAGTCTTATTAAAATCTGAAATTCCAACATTGCATTGAACACTTGCTCTCTTGGATAAATTAAATAATGAATTAAATAAATTAATAAAATTTTGAACGATTTTGAAATAATTATTTTTATCAGTCATAAACATCCGACAAATGCAAAAAATATTATCTTAACTTTAGGGTGTAAAATTTAAAATGCCTAGACACTTTAAGTGCATAATTGTAATTTCTTGTTAAATAGAATTTTATAAAAATGTATAATAAAGACAAAATGTAATAATTACAAAAGTGGATAAACATTTAATAAGAAGCTCAAAAGAAAGAACCTAAATCATACATCACATAAATTGTAAATAGTCATAATTTACTAATAAGATCAAAATTATAATTAAAATAGTAACAATAACAATAGAATATATAAAACCGAGTTACTAAGTATCATGCATACATACATATATATGTACGTTCATACATGTGTAATTGTCTTTTGTTTAACTGTATTAGTTGTTTATTTCTTTGAAAACAAACCCATACATTTATTTTTACTTGTACCCTGTAAATCGGAATGGCAGTTAAGTGATGTATGATCTAGGGACATAAATGTGAAGAACGATTTGATCTCTGTTTCACAAAGAGCATAACCATGATAACTAAGTAGTTAAACAATTGGGATAAAAAAACCATATCAAAGATGTTCATGGGTCCCTTTAATGCTGCTGGGTAAGGACAGAATGGATGTACATTTATATATGTTTATAGAAAAAAAAAAAAAAAACAATACTAGAACTGCAACAACAATGACGACAATAGTAATATAATAAATCATTATGTAGAAACAAAATGCCAACCAAAAATTATATTTTAACAGTTCAATGTATATGAGAGAAAATAAACGCAATACCCACACAAAGACATATTATTCCCATATGAATGTGTTCGTATATACCCAGCAGTCCGGTCGGACAGTCCCGAACTATCTATTTAACCTACAACTTAGGATTACTTCTAGCCATGACTGACCCAGGTGACTAGTTATTTTAACATGTGCTTATAATCGCCACCTCATTGATTACGAAGAGACTGACAAAAAGCTTACGTTTGTGTTTGGAGAATTCACTCTCTCGCTTACAAAGGGTTAGTGTCCCCTATAACAATTATATTCACTCTCGTTAATAAAGAGTACATCCGTGACGAAAGACGCATTAGAGTCAACCAGGTGGTCAAACGTTAGTAGAAATTGTGGTGTCCCTTCGTTTTACATAATTTAATTTTTAATCTTAGTTGTTTTCGATTTTTAATTTGATATTTTGTTAAAATAAATTTTCCAATTTTTATTATAAATTTCAACAAAATAAGTCGTAAACTTATTTCCCAAAACTGGTGACTCCCACAAAAGCCGTAACATGTAAAACAATAGGTCAACAACAAGAAGCGTTACAAGAGCACAAGCTTCTCTTGCTGAAAGTGATAACAATATGGACGATAACGAAGAATTCGTTGAAGCACCACAATATGTTAATCAAAATGATAATTCTGGCACATCCTCTCCAGGAACACTTTCATACTCATCAAATTGTCTTTTTCGGATACATTGACTCTTTGTTGAACTGCTGGGTATATACATATGTATATGTGATTATGATGGTGGTATGTGTGAATATGCAAATAAATGCAGAGTCCACAGTGTCAATGGCAACTGGAAACACTAAATATGGGTCTTTATAGAGTTAGAAAAAAAGGGAAATAACCAGAGCTAATTATATATTGGCTGTATTCGATCTTATATTGCCACTATCACTACCAAAATTTTTGTCAAAATTAATTTTGTATTTCGGGAGTTTCGCATTTTGGAAAATTTATCTAGTAAGTTAGTTTCAAAGGTTATGTTACATCAAATCAGAAGGAAGCCTGTTGTGCGCTCCATTACCAGAGCGTTCTGTTAGACTAGAACACTAACTCACCGAAATAAGAACAAGATCAATTCCTACGATACGTTTATTTATAAGAACAAAGTAAAGATCGTCCAAACTACTCAAAAAAGTATCAAGACCAAAAAATGGAGGCATTATCCCATTACGATTGCTTTCAAACACAACAAAACTTTGTAAAAATTTTTGAAAGCATACAGGAAGCAATTTTAGTTTTTTTACTTTTCAATAAATTTTAAAAAATTTTAGTTTGAATCAATTATGGCTAAAATATTACATTAACGGCACGACAAGTTTAGTATACCTCTTACATCTATGTAAGTATATAGAAACTTGTGTGAACATAATAAAACATAAATTGAGCATATAAAACTATAGTTTGTTGGAGTGGTTACCATTGTTGGTATTGCTACTGTTCTTTTGGGAAGAGATAAATAGAAGAGAACATCATATTTAGTATAAAATGACGATAATAATTTTAAAATAAATTTTCATAAATTTTATAAATGTTTTTGTAAGCCTTTATGTTTGTGTTTGTAATTTTCTATGGTTATTTATGTATGTATAAGTGAGATTACACATACATACACACACACATACACACAAAACTACATCTCTATATGTATGTAAA